CTGCAAACACCAGATTGCTTAAAAGGTTGAAAAAGCATTTTGGTGCCTCTTTGCATTCCTGTAAATGTCAAAAACAATAGCACAACACTTCAGCGGTACATTGGGTAAACACATAGGTAAAATCACATAGAATCAAGTTCAGCATTCACAATTAATCCCACATCCACAGGTTTTCAAAGCCAATGCTAATTAATACTGGATCCTTACGTGGGTCGTGATTGGATAATTTCCAATGTTAAGCGCCTTAGTTGTTTATTTTTTGACTTTGTTGTGGGGTGTTTTCTCACCAATGCATGTTAAGAGATGGAACTTTCTCTTGTGACTGATTGAAAGAGCCTCCTGAGCTGCCAATGAGGGGCGAATGATACAAAAGCAATCTGACAAGTAGTCGAAAGCTGCAGTCTGGAGAATTACATCAGAGGCCTTATCTAATGCGCTAATGAGGACAATCAACAAAAAAAAGTTGACCTGTCTGATTTTGATATGTTTTGACATCATTTTAAGATCTCAGCAAAATCAAGCAGAAGGCTTTTCCTATGTTGAGTGATAAGACATGTGACCCCTTGCCTTGTTTCCATGGACACATCATTAGAGAACTTCCCCAGCTGGCTCCAACTGCTTGAAGTGTCGATGGCAAATAACAAGTGAAGGATTTGGTTATAACCAAGAGAAAATCAAAACCGTCTTTCATGCCCAACACTCAATCTGATTAAAGTCCTATACCTATGACATTGTGGAGCAATTCCAGTGGATGTATTGTAGACCACAAATTTCCAATAATCTGATCAGATAATAATATTTATATTTTGTATTTTTGTGATATTTCTTCACTTGTTTTACTGATTTATACAAAATATATGACTTAACAATTAAATCTTTGATGGATTCCAATTCCATGCAGAATACAGCACCAATTAATGTGAAGTCATCGCACTTAAAAAAAAAAGGTATCAGTATATGAGAGGTTTGACAGCAGAGAAGACAAGAGAGGTGTATAGTATACAAAATCTTTTAGTTGTTTCCATGTGGCTGTATTTATTTTAATTGCGGTATTTTCCAGTGCATTAGTCATTTTGTCTGAACCCTACAAATCCAAGTGGTAGACAGATTTTTGTCTGAATACTTTGAAATGCCATCTTCATCAGCATGTTCACCAGAAGTCAAAGCTGCACAAAACTTGTAAAAAGCAGTGTTGACAGGTTCTAAAATACACCCACGCAGATTTGACCCGCTTTGTTCTGCTTGTGAGGAGCTGTTCTCAAGGCCTCAGTGAGGAGGGGATGACTAAACGTCAGAAGTTTAAAATGCACGCACAGCGACACAGTGGTGAGCAGTTTGTTGCCTCAGTGTTTTGTCACAGCGCATATCTTCACTGATATCTGCATGTTACATTACAGTAAATGCGGCTCACACAGTAGCTGTGCATAACAAATGTGTCTGTCAATTCTGTGGTGTTATTTGTTTACAGTAATGTCTAAAACTGACTGTAAAACACACATGAGTTACTTTATCCTCCTCTGACACAGCCGCAGACGAAGTGCAGCTCATGTGAAGTCATGTGGTACACAGTATTTACTTCATTGGATAAAGCTTTCTTCTATATGGATCTGTAGCACCACCAGAGTGACATCTGATCCAATGAACATTACAACATAAAGTTCCCTATTAGAGTGAACAAGCAGCCCCTCTAACAAGCAGTTGACAACATCAAACATTTTTCACTCAAAAGTCAAAACTTTTTCTGCAGAAAATTTTTTGTTTTTAATTTATTACAGATTTTTTTTTTTTTTTTTTTAACACACTCAGATTCTCTACAATTGAGCAATAACACAATGATGAAATTTTTTAATGAAAACTTGTTGGACCCTCTCTTTATCTCAGTTACCCGTGATTTTTTGTTTGTTTGTTTACACGCTGGTTTCCAAAGTTTTGGCTGTGATCTTGGAAGAGGGGGTCAGAGCTCAGTTCCCAATGCATCAGACCCATACACTGCAAAACCAATATCTTGAGCTGAATACAGCAACACTGCAAAGAGATTGTGAGTGGAATTATCACTTACTTCGTCATTTCTTGTCTATTTATGATTCCAGTGCAGCTATTCTGTAATTATAGTGTGAGGAATAAAACTACTGTTAGTCACTCCATATAATATTTCAATATTAGTGTCATTATAATGTTCTACAAATCCATTTTTTTGTGTGTCAAAGTAGCTTCCTGCGGTATCATTAAAACTAAATGTCCTTGTGATATTTGTGGGTGTATTCCCTCTTCTGTAGTATCTTTATCTGTCTTCTCCACGCACTTCGCTGAAAAAAGGAAACTTGGATGATTCATATTGATTAAAATGCTCTCACGCTCTCAAGTCCACTTCAGTTAATCATACATACTCTGCCATCAAGACAGCAGTGTTCTGACTATTTTTGTTCCCACATTAGATTGTGAAAACATGTGGACACACAGATAAAGTAGTGCAGTTACACTTGGTCACCATTCCTCTTTCTTAGGACACTTATAAATACATACATACTGCACTGACACATCACTATAGTGTGACCGTTCTAAAGCCACACACACATACAAACACAGTGCGTACACGTTACCTTCTAATATTAGTGAATGAGGTTCTCAAATAATTAGACATCCCTTTGTACCTATGGACACATCCTCTAACTCTGTCTCTTCTTCGTTTTTCCCATGCCTCTTGTGCCTCCCTCAGGCAGAAGACTGAACTGACATAGAGCAACAACACTGTCACTTTATTCTTACATCAGCCACCTCATCACCTCTACCAAAACATGTGCTAACTTTAACAAATACAAATCTCTTCGCCACAAGCACAAATGCACAAACTTGAATTTCTCATGCAGATTTATTTTACAGGTTTACAAATGTTGTTATTACGGTATTTTTCGAGCTTCTCGTGTTTCTTCTTCCTGATGTTGCCGACGCTCAGGATTGCTACATCTATCACCACTGCCTTCTTCTGTTGTTTGTCGATCAACACGATGTCCGGTTGGTTAGCCTTCACCAGTTTGTCAGTCTGGATCTTGAAGTCCCACAGGATCTTGGCTTTGTCATTCTCAACCACCTTAGGAGGCGTCTTACATTCTGACCGTGGGACTTCCCGCATACTGTGTGTACTGTACCCATACTCAGTGCAGATGTTCCTGTACACTATGCCAGCCACTATGTTATGGCGTCCCATGTACGTACTGTTCCTGCCTGCATCTTACACCCTGCTATTATGTGCTGGACTGTCTCAGGAGCATCTTTGCACAGCCTGCAGCCTTGTACGGCCTTGAACTGAGTGCCTGCTCTTGCAATACCATGATTAGTGCTTCTGTGCTGTCTTTCAATCCAGCCTTTTCCAGCCACTGGTAGGATTTCTTGATATGAGCCACTTCTTCTATCTGGTGGTGGTACGTGCGGTGTAGGCGCTTGTCCCTCCATGATGGTTCATCCTCCACTGCATTATCGGGTTTCTGCTACCTGAGGTATTCACTTAGCAGCTCATCTTCAGGGGCCATCATCCTGATGTATTCCTGGATCTTGGTCCTTTCGTTCTGGACAGTGGCTCCGATGCTAACCAGCCTCCCTCGCTCCGAGGGTGTACAGTCTCATGGTGCTGGACTTGGGATGAAACCCTCCATACATTGTGAGGAGCTTCCTTGTCTTGCTATCAGTGACCTCTATCTCCTAGTTTGGCAGGCTTATTATACCAGCAGGGTATCTGATGACTGGCAGGGCGTATGTGTTGATGGCTTTGACCACTTTCTTCCCATTCAGCTGACTTTTCAGAACCTGCCTTACTCTGTGTAGGTATTTGGCTGGGGCTGACTTCCTTGCAACCTCCTCATGGTTCCTATTTGCCTATGGAATCCCAAAGTATTTGTAGCTGCCCTGAACATCTGCAATGCTGCCTTCTGGTAGTTCAACCCCATTGTTCTGATCATCTCTGCTCTCTTTGATACCATCCGACCACACTTATCTAATCCGAATGACATTCCGATGTCTTTAGATCCTGGTGATGTGGATCAGTGAGTCGATGTCTCGCTCATTCCTGGTATACAGCTTGATGTCATGATGTCTATGTAGAGAAGGTGAGTGATGGTTGCTCCACTTCAGAATCCATATCCGCAATCAATCACTGAGGGGGTTCAGGCCAATGCAATAATATAGGCTGGCTACAGCAACATAACAAACTGTGAACGAATTGAAGGGGCCTGAATCCTTTCTGAATGCAGTGTAGCTTCAGCCTGTGCAGAGGCCAGCAATCCCACTGTGATTTCATCAGAAATTGGATTTTTTAGGTGGAAATAAAATATGCTGGATAGTTAAAACCGGGTTAGAAAATAGAACCTTATTTTGCAGCCAGGCTGCTGCTGTGACTCCAGTCCGGTAGGTGGCGGTGATGTAGCTGCAAACTCGCAGACCAGGTGCCAACAGAAACAAGAAGAAGAAGAAGAAGAAGAAGAAGAAGAAGTAAAACGATTTTGCTGTTTAGTAGCTTAGCCCGAATGTGCCTCCAAATATGTGAAAAATGTGAGGTTTACCGAATTTCGTACACATTCTCTACTTTGACTTCCTTTACCTGCATACCATGGCGGACTATCGGTTTCTGTCGTATTTGGACATCTTGGCCGCAAGGGACTGTCGCTGCTTCTGTGGCTCTTGTTATTGTAGCTAGCGCTACCGTTAGCTAAATTAGCTAACACTGCTGTTTTCGTTCTCCGCGTAACCGATGTTGATTCATTGCTGCGGGGCAGTAAGTCAAACCGCAAAACAAGGTAACTGTGGAGCAAGTTGCAGACACAAACAGCTGACCTGGGCAATGTTTTTGTTACGCCTCTTAACTCATTCGGTAACTGGTCTCAAGGCAATATTTTAGGTAAGGTTCTGGTGCACGATATGCTAACGTTATTTTGACAGTGAAATTAAACATCAACCGCTGCATGCTTCAGAAGGAGAGACCTCAATTACAATGCAAACATCACTAGCAACAGCAGCATGAAGCTTTAACGTTAACTCGTTGGCGTTAATGCTGTCTAAATATATTGGGATGGAGCAGCAGATAGCAGCCACAGAGATGGCTCTAGTTCATCACAACACATCTGTCTAACTTGTACGCCTGTGAAAGGGAAATCATGTCTTGCAAAGCCGCAACCAAGGACAAGAAGTCGAGCTTCAGCAAGAAGCTGTTCAGGCGAGGCTCCGTGCGCTCCGTGGGCAGTTTCATGAGCAGAGTCCTGAGGACACTGACAGCCTTATCACACTTTGGATCTGAAGTACAAACAGAAGATGATAAAGATGATGGAGGATTCTCTACTTTTAAATCTGGAAGTAAAGATGTACCCATGGATGATGGGGACATGGGGGGTTTTCTGTCTGGAGAGAGAGTTCCTGGAGTGTCAGGTCTCAAAAACCACGGGAATACCTGCTTCATGAATGCAATTCTGCAGTGCCTCAGCAACACTGAACTCTTTGCTGAGTACCTCGTTCTGGAGCACTATAAAGACGAGGAGCTGGATGAGGACAAACCGAAGACAAATGGCGTACTTCTGCAGAAGAAAGGTCCTCTGGCCAAAGGAGAAGTTACGGAGCAACTGTCAGGACTTGTGCGGGCTTTATGGACGTTTGAATACACCCCCCAGCATAGCAGAGACTTCAAGGTAAGAGTGGCACGCGTAATCACACGAGGCAAGATACTGTCACAAGTGGACATTAATGGTGACTGCAGTTGTGTTTTTGCAAACAATCAGAAAACTAATCGGGGAATCAAATTACAACATTATAGCAGGCCTGTAAATATTACAAAAAATCCCTCAGTAATATGACAAGTCCCACAGGTGTAAGTGTCAGTTGTGAAGGAGTCCTGAAGAAAAGTTAAATCATCATTGTAAACACTTTATCTACAGGATGTGTAAAATCCTTAAACGTTAGTCTGATGTTGTTGTGGGTTCTTTATATGAGAAACATAAAGTGTGAAAGTAAAAATGCATAAGACATTGTGTTGCAAGTTCATTCGTTAGTGCTCTTCTCACTGGTGCACTGTCTGTTGAGAAACGCCTTTGTCATTGCATGTTGAAAATACAATGTTTAGGATCTGCTGCTAATGAAACCTCATGACCAACTCAATTTAAGGTCATTGATGAATAAGTAGTAGAGTAGAGATTGTGACCTAGCATGCATTGTAACCTGTGGGTCACGCTGTTTGTTTGCAGAATGCTGTGTCAAAAAATGCCACGCAGTTTAAAGGGAACGCTCAGCACGATGCTCAAGAGTTTCTGCTGTGGCTGCTGGACAGAGTCCACGAGGACCTCAACACAGTCAACCCCAACAGCAGGCCTCCTATAAAGGTGAGCTTGGAAGAGTGTTTGTTCATTGCTCAGCTATTTTGTCCTTCGCCTCTGGAAAACTGAAAATAGTTATTCCATGTTTTTTAGTATGGTTATTTTGTTACGTTGCATTATATTTCACAGGTGTTTAAATAAATATCTTACAAGTGAGCTGCTTTCACAGTTCAGTTGAACTAGGCTTGCCCTGTCTTGTTTCCTCTTGATTTCATGGGACTTGTCAATAACAACACAGCATGTAAAGGCTGTCTGGCTTTCCCACTAGCTTATGAACCAGGTATTATTTATGAATTACAAATCTGACTCTACAAATCTGTTTGTGTTTGTCCAGCCCCCCATCGAAGAAGATGACCAAAGCCTAGAAGGGCCTTCTCCTCCACTCTCCGCTGGGTCATTCGTACAAGAACTGTTTCAGGCCCAGTACAGGTAGGCTTTATGTCCAGTAGAAGTTCTGTTATGTCCATATTACCTCTCTGCTATATTAAGAGATTTAATTTTTCCAAACAGGTCTTCTCTCACTTGCCCGCATTGCCAAAAGCAGAGCAATACGTTTGATCCCTTCCTCTGCATCTCCTTACCCATCCCACTACCACACACACGGTGAGTGCACACCTGAGCTGTGCTATGACTTTCAAAAAAAAAAGTATGTTTGTTCTACCTCTATCTAAGCAAACGCAGTGTATAGAAGTTCTTCAAAGAGGTGACACCTTTCACTGATTTGTGTGTGTGTGCGTATGAGTGCTGACAAGTTCACAAGGACCTGAAGCAAATACCAGTTTGTGTGGTCACAGAGGGAGGAATGTAACCTGGTTTAGCAGGGGTGTTGGGGGTGGGGTGGGGGGGGGGGTGGGGGGGGGTGGGGGGGTACAGGAGAAGCAGCAAGGAGGCATGGGAGGAGCTTACACTTTAGAGTTTAAAAACAAAACAACAGTGTGTTCATTTTAGGCGTTTCTGCAGTGCAGGAAATATAGAGGAAGGAAATACTACAAAATCTTGTTCTTTGTGTTGTAGAGAATATGTCGGGGTGTTCTCACGGTTACAGTATAATAAAATATAACCATACTTGCTTAGTAAACTGCGACAGTACTGGAGGATTTTTAAATGATGTTCCCTTCTTTTTGCCAGGCCCCTGTATGTGACAGTGGTGTACCAGGGCAAGTACTCTCACTGTATGAGGATTGGAGTTGCTGTTCCTCTCAACAGCACTGTCTATCGCCTCAGAGATGCTGTGTCACGTGAGACCAAGATCCCAATGGACCAGGTGCTATTCCTGTCACTTATCAGCTCAGGGTCTGCCACAGTGAGACTATATTACTGTCACACAGTGTTAGCTCAGTGTTCCTAAAGCAGGGTGTGCCTCTAAGCAGTAGTTTCTTATAAAGCCAGGTTTTTTTATAGAGTGCGCTCAATATGCAGTTGACAGAGTAACAGGTTTATAAACACATTATTTCTTAGGGCGGCAACAACTGAGTGTTAACATTGATGAAAAATGGCAGGGTGAAAATGCCTTGAGAGTAAATGTAAATGACAGCTAAGAGGTGGGGGGTAAGGACTGATATTGAGATGAGTATGTTTATTTATGAAAACAATGCGAAAACACTTGGACACAATGAGTGATTCATATGTTTAAATTTACTCTTTATTTTTTTTCTTCTTTCAGTTTGTTTTGACTGAAATGTACTATGATGGTTTTCATCGTTCATTTTGTGATGATGACGATGATCTCGACATCATTCAAGAGAGCGACTCCATCTTTGCCTTTGAGACACCAGAGACCTTCAAACTGGAAAACATACGCACAAAAAGAGGTAACACTTTCTTTATATTTTGCAGATATTCTTCTTTTTCAAATTAAATGAAGAGATCACAATTTATATAGACTTGTCTTTTCTGTCTAATCACAGGAAGTCTTCTTGCAAATCTGAATCATAACAACTTGAAGTATGGGACAGAAATCGGTAGGACTCCTTCGTTCATGCAGGGGGCCATGACTCCTGTAACTGCATCGCCCAATAAAAACCTGGGTCCGGAAAAAATTATCCTTTTGGTGTGTAACAGAGCTTGTACTGGCCACCAAGGAAAGAGGTACTACAATCAGAATACTTTCTTTCTTATTATTGCAACACAATTGGTAGTTCACCAGAATGGGAATGGGTTAATGGGCGTAGTTATGAAGCCAACCAGAGAAACTAATGACTGCTAATAAAACCTCTTTATGTTTTTTTTTAGGTTCGGCCTGCCTTTTGTACTGTACATGGAGCGCACTGTGACCTGGGATGCTCTACAAAAAGAGATCTTGGAGAAAATGCGTCATCTTTTGAGACCCGGGGTCTACATTCAGGTAGGAAGACACACAAGCAGTCGGCCTGTTCTCTATAATGAATATATAGTGAATAGTTTTGATGCTGCAAATGTTAAGGTAGGTTCAAAATTATACAAACAGACATATATGAACATTTTTATTTTAGATATGAGCCTTCAAAGGAGGGAAATCAGTGAAATTGTTGTTATTTTTCTGATAACTAACCATCTGGCTTGATGTGCTGGTCTCAGAGAAGTATTAAAAATGGCATCTTTATGTGTAGGTGGGACCTTTCAGTCTTCGGGTGGTTGGCGTTGTTGGTATAACCTACCTCCTTCCCCAAGATGAGCGACCTCTGTGTCACCCAACTGTGGAAAGGTCAGTTCTGATATTTTATATAACATGTATCGTATGTGTATGTGCATAGAGTATCTACTTTCCTAAATCTCTGGCTATTTACACTGTGTTTTTCACTGACTGTGAAAACAGTCAATATGATTTGTTTATTGTGAGTCAAATATACACACCCTTTTAGTTTCCATCTTGATCTTTATTGCTTCCTGCAGAGCAAGTCCAGTCAGAGCCAACAAGTCATTTCATCCAGTGGGATGCAGCCAAAGAAAAGCAGGCCTTGCACAATGTGTGAAATCATATCGTTTGTAGTAGAGTAGCGCAGTAATTTTAGCAAACTATACATCACATTTTTAAAACGGTGACTTACCTATGCCGAACTGTTTTCATACCTGTGAGTTTTCTCTCAGTGTTAATGTCAGTGAAATGTGAAATTGAAGCAGGTGGAATTCAAATATAAACACTGTGTGTACATATGCAAAACAAAGGTAAAGACAGGCATGACATTTGCTAACGGGGTGAGGTCAAAATAATATCCTTCCAGGCCTTTAAGCTTCTCTTTTCACACATATGCCATTGGTGTCAGTTTGTCTCACAGACCTGGTTAGATGACATGCCCTGACAGGATTTTGACTGTTTGTTAAAATGCCAGTTTAGCATGTTTGGCTTATAACCTACATAATAAAACAAGTCACAACATTGCCGGTCCATAAAAGTGTATGAATCGAGGTGAAATCAGAGTTGTTTTGTTCATTATTGTGACTGATAAATAGGTGCTTTCATAACAACTAAAATGTCACTGGATATGTTGTTTTCCGTTATGAACACAGTCCTATAAACACAAAGGCTATTACAGCAGACATGTTTATAAACTTTTAAAGGGATATCTGTTTGTCTGTTTGTCTGTTTTTAGAGATTATTTCATTTTTATGGTCACATTGGATTAACCCATCCTCTAAATTCATTCCCTCACAGTGACTGACTGATTGCATGTAGCGATGGGGGTATAGAAATTCAATTATAAGTGACACCTGCCTAAAATACTTCATTTTTTTTCCATCACAGAGCATACAAGTCCTGTGGACAAGGTGGACCACCACATGTGAAGATAGTGGTAGAGTGGGACAAAGAGACCAAGGACTAGTGAGTGTAAAAGATAAATATTTGCTGGACTTCTGTGGTCTGTTTTCTTCTATCTACAGTATGTTTGTTCCGCACAGAAAGAATTGAAGCAAGATGTTGACATTTGTTTTCTCTAATCTTCACTGAGAACAATATATTGCATTTCAAAAATCTGAACTGTAGCAGAACAGTAAATTTGCTAGACATGCTGCATACACCAAATGACATGATTAAACCGTGGTGTTCCTTTGGAAGAACGGGTTAAACCACCCATTTTAATAACTTGCCTTGTAGACATGACATTGAATGTGTAATTTACTGTGATTTTTATTGAAGGCCATTCATTAGCAGGTAAGCTAACAAGCTCGGCTTTGTTAAGCAATTACATCGAAAGTACAATTAAAACGAATGGACCCAGCTTCAATGTTGAATACTTAGCATTATGAAAGAATATACCATAACCTCACATGTTACGTGTGAGACAAAATAATCAACAGTATGATGTATTGAACAAATGTCAGCCCCACCTGACAGCCAAAAATGTTGTGCAATGTGCTGCAAATTTTGTTGCTTAATTGGTCATTCATGTCATCAAATACTCAATTCTCAACTTCATGTGACTGCTCATTGGCTTAGAACGCGACAACTTGGCAAAGTCACAAAAATAAGCTTGCCCACGCATGACTGCACCTTCGTCAGTTGAGGACACAGTCTTACAGTTGAAGGTGTGGCAACACTTCAGTAAAATTGATGGTGACATTTGTTGCGATGTGCAGGATTACTGAAAAGACTGTCAAGTTCAGCAGCACGTCAAACTCGACAAGGCTCTTTTGAGCATTTGGATGTAGGTCCCTCCCACTATTTCTCCCTAACTCCCATCCCTCACACCATTTTCTTTTGAAAAATAAACTTTTTGAATCTAAATGTGCCTTAATTTGAAACAGTTGTTGTGCTAACACAAGTAAACAGCAGAGTCTTTAGTTCCACCTGCACAATCAATGACATGTCTGCTCTTATTTCCTCACTTAAGCCGATTACTGTGTTGTGTGGTTACCACACATATACGCCTTTGAAAGTGAAATGGAAGTCACATCTTCATTAGAAGTCATGGGTCGATGACAGTTTTTTTACTTCAGTGTTTTTCAAAATCATCTTAGTTTATTAAATTCTTTGATATAGGAAACAATTTGACCAAAAGGCAGATGCTCTGATGCTCTGATCTTCTCGTGACTAAGCAGTTGAATGAATGTGTGACTTTTGCTTCATGTTCCCACAGTCTGTTTGGGCACACCGAGGAGGAGTACATTCCTGATGCTGAGAGCGTGTATCTGCACAGAGAACATCATCATCAGCCGCAGGCCTGCACGCTTGCACAGTGCTTTCAGCTCTACACAAAGGAGGAGCAGGTAACATTTTGACCAGACATATAGTGGGTGCACGCACAGTCGATTACTGCAGGGTCAGTAGTTTGACATTAGAAAATAAATCTTAGATTCGCCTTGGCACATGAGTATATTTTGAAGTGAAGCCTCCTCCCTGCATGTTTATTATTCTTCTGCTAATGTTCAAAAAGCCTTTCACTGGCTGTGGTTTTACTGTGTGTTTGACTCCTAATGCTATGTTTGGAACAAACTAGAAATTCTGAGAACAGAATTACGTATACATTGTGGTTTAACTCGCCTGCGAATGTTCTGGAGGAGAATAGAGAGGAGTGAGAGGAAAACTTAGGGCCTCATCCTGTGTGAGGCCTGTTTTATAAGCAGTGTGGTTAGAGCTCGTTCTTGATGGCTGCTGCTTGGGCTGTGTGTGTTTCAGCTGGCCCCAGACGATGCCTGGCGCTGTCCCCACTGCAAGCAGCTGCAGCAGGGCCGCATTAAGCTCAGCCTGTGGACATTGCCGGATGTGCTCATACTGCATCTCAAGAGGTTCAGACAGGTACTTCAGCTCATCTGGACACTGTTTAAATGGAAATTTGAACCCAAATGCACTCTCTGATTATCAAGAGCATCCTGTTGTTAGGGATGGGCACTTGAGGTTAGGACTGGGTATCAAACCTCTTTACTTTTTTGTAAATAAACTGCCATGTACTGCAAGTAGCTGGTAAACGGGGAAATTGTTCCTTAAATGCTGATCTGTTTCTGTTTCTTGTGTTCTTCTTTCAGGAGGGGGACCGGAGGGTCAAGATGCAGAACATGGTGAGGTTCCCATTGATGGGCATGGACATGGCACCTCATGTGGTTAAGAGGAGTCAGAGCAGCTGGAGTTTACCTTCCCATTGGTCGCCGTGGAGAAGACCCTATGGCCTGGGAAGAAACCCTGATGACTACCTGTACGACCTGTACGCTGTGTGCAACCACCACGGGAATATGCACGGAGGCCACTACACTGGTAATACAACGAATTGATGCACTTTGAAAGTTTATATACAAAAAATAATCAGAAAATCTTGGATTCATCATCCACTTCTAACCCAATGCTTTCTTTTTGCTTTGCGCTTATAGCTTACTGCAAGAACTCCATTGATGGTCAGTGGTACTGCTTTGATGACAGTGAGGTTTCACCAATAGCTGACGATGACGTGTGTCAGCAGACAGCCTATATACTCTTCTACCAGAGGAGGACCGCTATTCCCTCCTGGTCGGCCAATAGCTCTGTTGCTGGTCAGTTTTTCTTTCCTACTGTCTGTCTATATCTGCCGTATTTCCACTCATATTGTGATGTGAATTGTAATTTAACTGCAGTATTTGCATGAACATACCCACAAAGATATACCACGTTGAACACTGGAGAGAAACTAACATTGTAACGTATTATAATGTGGAGGTGTCTTTAGTCATTAACTGATGTGCTTTGAAGCAAGGGATCAGGACTGCTTGTAAAACAAACATCTTAAAGTTATTCTTATTCTGCTTCTTAGCAATTAAGATTTTAATGTGCATGCACCTACCACACAGGTCCGCAGACCTTTTTAAGGAATTTGTCATATTATTTGAAGAAAATAAACAAGATAGTATGCCTCACTATGTCTTTAAACCTTTAAAAGAAACTACAGTTTTTATTGTCTTTTACACAGGTTCAACCAGTTCATCCCTGTGTGACCACTGGATCAACAGGTTACCAGGTAGCAGGCCTGCTAGCTTGGCCTCCGGAGCCTCGTCCAGACGCACCTCTCTGGCTTCACTGGCTGAGTCAGTAGAGTTTCCAGTCGAACGCAGTGAGGATGACGGTGAGACAGATGCTGATATTTGTTTTTGTTTTAAGTGATTTTGATGTTACATGTGTCAGATTGTAGTTTTTTGCGTTTCGGTGCTTCGTGTGTATTTACGTTACATGCACATGAACTCCTGCTGCCATCCGACTCAGATTTTGAAGTTTACAGTTCAAAGCTTTTGATCTTTAGCTTTTCAGATGCAACACCATGTCAGACTTTTTTTTAAATTCAGGAGACCAAAACCAGTAAAAATAACAGTATACGTATTGCAGACCAGCAGTTTTAGACCTAAATGACAAGAAGAAACAGCCTCACAGATACTGGTTTGCCTACTTTGTTGCTCAGTGTATTCCACAGTAAAATGAGCAACACAAACCTTTGTACCAAGAGTCCTTCCACTAACAATATTTCTTTTGGAATCGAAAGATGCCATTAAGGCTTCCCAGAGTCGTTTCAAATCAGGAAGCCCCCACCCCACCCCACAAATTTGAAAGAGATCAAAGCAGAATCAGAATTGCTAGGACGTGGCAGAAAGTGATGGGACATATGTCACATCTGAGTGGGATGAATAAGACAACATGCTCAGCAGAGTGGGAAACCTTAAATTCCAAGTGAATCCAAATTGAGGCAGATGTTGGCCCGGGCTGCTATTTGTGGTTAATATAAATATAGGTATTACGTAACCCTCCAGAATACAGAGTTAGCATAGTCCCAAAAATGCTGGAAAGGCAAACTGGTGTTTAACTGTGGCTTTCACAGATCTCAATATGGATAATGCATCCAAATTATGTAATGCATTTTGCAATATAAGCCATTATTTATTTATTTTTTTTAGGAGGATTCTCCGTCCGCCCTTTTGTGAGGAGCATTCAGCGTCAGAGCTTGTCCTCCAGGTCGTCCATCGCTAGTCCTTTAGCGTTCAGCGACAGTGGGATGAAGCCGTCTTGGTCTCTCTCTGCGAAGCTGCATATGAGGTCCAACTCACCCTCGCGTTTCTCCCTCGACTCTCGATGTTCCCCTCCTCTAGAGAGGATAGGAGAAGCCTGCGATGACAAGGTTTCCACGTCCTGTTTTGGCAGCTACAGTAGACATGAACGCTACTTTGGCAGCAGGACTCCCTCGTCTATGATGGAGAGCAGCTACAGTGACCATGACAACAATAAAAGGTTCCTAGACATGATGTACTGCAGGGCTCCCACTCCAGTGGAAAAGAAGAGCACCAAAAACGAGCCAACTGAAAACAACAACCAGATTACAGCTATAGACCAAAACATACTACCTGCCCAAGCAACTCCCTCTAAAGAGCAGAAACGTAAGAGCAGCATTGGAGGATTTGGCTCAAAGGCAGAAAGCACAGGCTCCACAAAGGGCTCCAGCAAAGTGGAGCAAGAGAAAACTTCCAAAAAACGTTTGTGCTCAACCTATAAGACTTCAGCTTCTGAGACGTCTTCCAGTACACCTGTGAAAGGCAAGAAGGTGAGCAATACTAAAGAAAAGAGTGTAAATGCCAAGAAAAGCACCTCAACACCAAGTGGGACTCCCTCCAAAACAAAGGAAGCAACTCAGCCTCTAGAGGCGACGCCACAACACAAGCCTTGTGTCCGCTCCACACCTCAGTCCTCAGCGTCTCCCTCACCAACTGCAAAGAAAAGTTCCAGTGTCACAGAGAAAGGCGCCACGAGTACTCGCAAACGTCTGGTCGAAAGGAGCTACAGCAGAGATTCTATGCACACTAGCCCTCTGGTCGACAATCTCCGAGGCAGCTTGGTAGGTCGCTCTTCACTCTCAAAGAGTGGGGAGACGAACAGGCTTGAAAAGAGATCTGTGAGGAGCTCCAGCAGCAGCTCTTCCGTCACTAGCTTGCGCTCACCAAGTGTAACCACCAGAGACCTGCAGCGCGGCAGCAAATCTGAGGAAAAAGGGTTGTCTTTCTTCAAGAGTGCCCTTCGACAAAGGGAAAGCCGCCGGTCGGCTGATTTAGGAAAAAGCACCTTGCTTGCCAAAAAGGCGTCAGAGAGGACGTGCAAGCAAAATGGACAAGCCAAGGAGATCGCTGGTGACGCCGTGTCCTCACAGACATCTATAGAGACTCATGGAGGTGAGACAAAGTCGGAGACAAAGGAGTCTTCCAAGCCCCCCAGCTCTCTCAGTCGCACTCTGTTGAACGTAGGCAAGTCCAAGTCTTCCACTTCTGAAGTAAGTCACAAGTCTCCCGCAAACGGGAAGAAGCCACTTGAAAGGATGGCATCTTCCCGAAAACTGTCGTCAAGCATGCAATCTCCTGCACGTACAACACAGAGGCCTCAATGATATATCAATAGTAGTTATATTGAACTTACATATTGCAGCTATTTTCTTTGTGCCTAAGTTTCAGTGAGCCCCATATGTGTTTGTAAAGAGACACATTTTTTGGTGTTATGGTTTTGTACACTTGCATTAGAAGTATGTGGCTTTGGGTTTTTGAATATTGGCAGCCAGCTCTGAGTTTTTATTTATTTATTTTTTTATCTGTACTGGATAAAAAGTAAAGTACTGTACTCCATTTGCATATTTGGGTGCCAAACACGTGCCTGGTATGGACGGTATATAAGCATGCCATATGCATTCAGCTGTACAGCACAGCCTGTTTGATTGTGCGTACTCGAGGCCTGTATGACAGCTGACAGAATTCCCTACTGGAATCTTGAGATCCAATTATCTTTCCTTCAGACACAAGAGGCTTGTTATATCTTTGAAAAATATCTAGCTAAAAATCCCTCATTTAAAATGCAGCAGCTTATACATTAAAAAATGAAGGGGATAAGAAACATTTTCACCTTGTATGCATCAACAATGCATAGTTTGCCTGGAAGAGTAACATTTTTAAACTAATATAGATTCAAATTTTTCAGATCTGAGATGAAGATAGGCTGATTGTTGATGCTTAGGCCTCACTGCTGTTCTATATGCATTTGAAACCCAACAACAGTGAGAACAGAACCATAACATTAATGATTGTCTCTGGACAAATACTGAAACAGTTGATTTGCTCACACACACACACACACACACACACACACATGCACACATACGAAAGAGTTTCATTCCGAAATAGCTGTGGCTAAGCATTCATAGTGGTTTTCAGTGATTGATTTAAGCCGATCAAAGTGACCATTGTTTTTTCACACACGCACGCACGCACACACTTTCTCCACACACCTCATGCCATTGGTTAATAGGGATAGTATGAGTGTTTTTTGTCTTTGGCTATGGAGAAAGACTTTAGTAGACTTTATATACTCATAATTAATGTCACATTCTTTCTTGAGAGTATCTGGGAACTAACAGCAGCAGTGGTCAAAATAGTCTTTATTGTAAACATGAAAAGAATAGTTGTGAAATGCAGAGGTAATAGCAGGCCCTGGACCAAAACAGAAAAGAATCTGAGATGAGAAAGAATCAGGATCGGTACGGAAACTGAGACAAAACTTTATTTTTGTTTAATACTAGTACCTTTTCGATAGAAATGTATTTTATTAAAGTTCTTATTGAAGCTGACATTTTTTCCTCAAAGAGATGGTGTTTTGGAATGAAACCCTTTAAATTCAAAGTATATGAATATATATAGATGTGTCTGTACAGATATCGACATATAGTATATAACCCTTTTGTCCCCTTTCCATGAGCAAGATGAAAATTATCTTAAGCGCCTTTCAATGCTGTACATGGAAACAAATAATTGCCTTTGGCAACATAGTAGTCTACTACTGTATGCATCACTGAGTAGGAATGTTGTGTTGTTTGCACTTTGTATAGATAAAGTAGTTTTCTTCTTCAGTCATACACACACACACACACAGACTCGCACTCACACTAACACTCTCTATCTCTCTCTATCTCTCTCTCTCTCTCTCTCTCTCTCTCTCTCTCTCTCTCTAAGTTAATATAATTATCTCATTTTTAATATGCTGTACATGACTTCGAGACATATCGTAAAGTAGTGTCAACAGGCCTTAGACTTGAAATGGTAAAAGGGTACATTCATCTCAACGTTTCAGGGGTCATTTAAAAAAATACAAAATAAAAAATTCACCCCTTCACTACACCTGGTGCTGTAACAGACCACTGCTCCTCTGGCACTGATGTTTCTTAAATGAACATATTTTCAAATGCTGATGTTCAGAACTGTGACTACACAGACTTCAGTGACCTGGAAACCTGTTGGCATAACCTGTGGTACCTCAATGGAGAGGACAATACTTTGCCATTTTTTTCTTCATCAGGCTGAAACAGAATATTGATATTGAGCCATTTAATTCATCATAGAATGACATTTATACTGTCTCTGAGCAGTTATCCAACTTTGGATATGCAGGCAGAATTTTCTCACCTATCAGGCACTGCATGGCATTACCAGTTTTGCAGTATAATGATAGATGCGGAGGCGGGTTAGTGTCACTTCAGCTGTCATGATGCATGATTGGCCTCAATTTGAACAGCTTTACCATTATAGAATCAGCCCACCTGTAATTGCAATATTCATACATTAGATACCAGCAATAATGTATGTTTCCAATGAATGAATGTGGATATGCTGTTAAAAGCCAACCGTTAGTGAGCAGTTCTTACTTTGAGCATTAACATAATCGTTGAATTACAGATTACAGTATTTCTCTCCACTGTTTCTCTGTAGCATCTACCAGGTTTACATTGGTTCTCAGATGGTTTTCAGAGGAAATACCACTCAAGTTAAAGATTTAAGTATGTTGTTGAAATGGTCTGTATGGGGTTTGAGCAGATTTGGCTCAGCTATATGCGACATAGCCATGTCGCCTTGAAGGTGAATGCTGCAGTTTTCTGATCAGTGCGCTGTTGGCAGGTTAGATTGCCACATGATGACACTTTAAACCCAAATTCTACCCAACCATGTTTTATTTAGATGTTGCATCCATCTGTTGAGAATATTAATAGACACAGCAAAAAAAAAAAAGATGTATTTGAAGCCAGAGCATCAAACTTGACATTTAGAGAGAAAAAAAAGTTTACCTGTTAAGTGATGAACAAGATCGACATTAAAGTCCTCTGTGTATCCTCAGGACTTTTTTATTACTGTGTTCTGCACCGATTTAACATAGGTTGCTGATCTTAGGTGATAATATAGATTTGTGAAAAGGTTATCTGCTGTAGACCTGTGAGCTCATCACTTCACTGGCAACCAGTCTCTCTAAACTTTTGTGGGACTACCATTAGAAATGTGTAGTGTGCTCAAACCTTAACAGACCATAGAAATAACATACTTATTGTTTGAATAAGGTGGTTTTCCTGTAGCTGCTCTTTTCTACTTAAACTTGTGATCTATCAGGAACCTGTGCGTGGCACTTTGGGTCAAAGCAGGACAATTTTATGTCATTTTGGCTTTCACCGTCTCGTTTGCCTGTTTTAAAGTCAATGTAATTATTGTTGTGGCTTGTGTGCATTTTAGTGCTGGATTGTTTCATTACACTTGCTAGATTTGCAGTTTATTGTTGGATTTTTAATCCATTCATGTAGCCAAAACCCAGTGCATTAGAATGTGATGATGCCCCTTCACTTTTGACTTTTTTATTTTGTTTTTTGGGGCATTGTAAACAAGGATCAGTCAAATACAATATTACATATTGCTTATATAAATAGTGGTCATAATTTGAGATCAAATTGTATCCAACCAACCTTTTGAGACTTTTTCCCTCTGCAGAACTAAAATCTGAAAGCTGCAGCATCCTTAACAATTTTGATTATAGCCACCACTTTTGTTTTTACAGCGTGTAAGATTAGATGAGGCATGGTTGTTGAGACCCTCAGCTCATTCAGTAGCAACTTAGTGGTGTTGTACAGCCTAAATTCTTTAAATGTAGTGTATTGCAGAGCTGAATGTCTGTGGTTTTTACAGGAACCTTTTGTCAAACATGAAACGTTTAAATCAGTAGCTTCCAAAAAAAAAAAAAAAAAAACTTTAGGATTTTTATTTTGCCTTGACCAACATACTAGTGGTAGAACAATAATCCAATAATCATCTCATTGTTTGATGTTCATCAGTTAGACTAAGGAAACTGAGGTTTGAATGACCAAAAAGTGCAACATGGCTGATTTATGAGAGCTCAAGTATTGTAGTAAGTAAGTTTTCTTCCCAATTAATCCAAATACATACTTGCTGAAAGAAGATGTCAAAAAAAAAAAATCCATGTAAAATGAATCAGAAAACCTTTTTACATCTCTTTCGTCACTGCAGTTATTCTGTTTTTTCTTAGTTTTTTTTTTTATTTGTTAATGTACAGTCAATGTACAGAATTAAAAATGATTAAGGAATGCAGTTTTGCATGAAAACGCTAATGCATGTATTTCATTAACTATGCAAGAGTCTGCAGCTGTGTACATTAGAAAGCAGAGCATGGCTGGTATATTCCATCGCTTCATTTGCACATCATTCCAATATTTAGAAATTGTAAATTTACAGAGTATTTCATCTTTCAGGTAAAAGGATTAAACATGAAAATCTTGCCTATATGAAAATCTATTTAATGCCATAATTGCTTTTAGCATTCTACCATTTAATGTTTCTATTTTGTATTTTTTTTCCTCATTATTTAATTATTTTTTTTTTTATTTCTGCTGATCTGTGCTCTCTGGGTGCTCCTACCAAACCGGTAGGTTAATGTCTTTTTGTTTTTGACAAGATGTTTAATATTTACTGTTGTACACCAGCAGAGACAACACTATGGATACGATAATCTCTATGTGGTTACTAAATAGCCTCATGTATGTATGTAAGTACGTATGTATGTATTGTGAAAAGGCCTTCCATTAATTCACTTCGGTGATAACGGTTTGTGAACCCCTGTTAAAATGTTCTCAGCTGCATCAAAGATGTGGTCAGTCTCTAATATAAAGGCAACTCAAATAAATAAATAAATATATATAGATAGACATAGCTAAATGCAATAAAGAAAGATATTAAATTTATAGTTTTATATTACAATATGTAATGAACAATGACATGCAAATATAAATGCTCAGTTAATACTTTTTGTAGTATTTATGCCACATCAATCGTTTTAATCATGATGTGATTTTTATTATTTTTTATGCAAAGCGGTTTATCAGCAAACAAACAGCAACTTTAAAGCAGCACTTCTCTTTTTTTTTCTTTTTCTTCCTGATATCTGGTAAAGTGGGGGTAAAACATTAATCACTCTAGTTGCTAAAATGCATACAGGCTTCCCTGCAGAACTTAATTAAGATTAGAGAATCCTGCATTGAGTTATTGTTGAGACACAGTTGTTTTTGTTTACTTCTTGTTGTTAACAGAGTCACAAGAAGTAACTCTTTTTCAAGATGAGAGCAGTAATTAATGATTTTATATTCAACATGTTTGAGTAAGTATTTTACCACTGAATCAAAGTTACAATAACCACTGAACCTGAAATACCACACTCCTACATTTGACTTCAGATTCTTCAGATATAGTGTCGTACCACAGCAATACAGTGGTGTCCTTTAATATTTAAAGACTCAAAATACTTCCATT